TGAATTCTTTCAGCAGGAGGGATACCATTAAAATTCCCACAAAATAAGGTTGGTAAACTTGTACAATGGGTCCTTCTTTCAGATGACTCCGAAAGAATTAAACGGATGGTAGTTCCCTCAAACTGGTGAGGACGCCAAGAACATCCTGAACAAGGGTTTTCCCCGTGTCAAACCCAAAAGGACCTCTGAGGCCGATGTGACTCCCTATCGAGGTCCTGTGACATAGTGCCTCAGCCTCCAGCTCTTACTGTCAACCTATCTCCATCTAACTTCACCCAAAAAGAGCCCTCCGTCAAGCGTGAGCGGGTTTTTACTCCTATATAATTAAAACAACAGAAAATCATGAATTATTATTGAAATTAGTGGGATTTCACAAAACTGTATTAAAATTTCTCAAAAGCTACCATATTCAGTCCTATTCCCCTCCTTAAAACCCATTGCCGATCTCATCCAATCCTACACCCTTCCCGGAAAGCCAAATTCAACCCCACCATCGGAGAATCCTCGACGTAGCTTCACCCACCATTACTTTTGAATAAGTGAAATACCAAGTGTAGAAGTAAAGCTCACCGAACAAGGCTATGCTGGCGATCATCATCACTCGAATACACAGATGCGGTGAAGAGGGAGGCTTGGCCTCGTGCTCCTTTCATAGTGTCGCCGACAACCGGTTGTTGGCCACCACTTACATGTTACACCTCCAACCAACGAATAAGCCTGACTCATACCACCCACACAATGGCCCCCTGAGGGTAATTAGGTGCAAGGGCGTTTGACGAACAAACGGTTCACACCGTGTGCTACCGTAACGACTGTTGCATAGTTTTGACACAAAGAAACTATCACATTGCCACTAGAATCTTTATCAATCGCCAAGACCCGCATGATTACCCAAACATAAACAGAATAGCTGAGAAAAATTGAAAGCATAGCGATGTAAAGTGACGTGAGCAGGATACGGTAGTTCACATGCTGGTGTAGAGACTGGCGGCGAACACAATGTCGCGTTTGATAGCGGCGCTTACTTGTTCCATTTTCTCGTGCAGCGCTGGATCACCGACGATTCGAGCTGCATTCCTGGAAATTTTCAACTCAATTTCAAGTTCACCTTTTTGAGAAAGTCAAGATAGAAGCATAAATTGACACAACGGACGAGATTCCCTTCGGCCAGGCCTAGATATCTTACAAGGGAGGTCTTCCAGGGCAAGGTGCGCTTTTTCAGAACGGTTTTGCGCATATTGTAGGGTTTGATAGAAAACCACTTTGTAGTTCAGCCTATGTTCAAGGCAGGTCTGAAGCTCAGAAGATCGGCTCTACGAATCAGTCAAAGGGGTCTAGGTAACAGGTTGAATAACGGTCGAGGAAATCCTCGACCATGGCTCTGTACTGCACGAGAGCCGAGAGAACGTACGCGCGGAGAGCACAGACGGCTCGCGCATGGCGAGTGTGAATGTCCGCGCGAGAGAACGTAACTGATCAGGCGAAAATCCTCGACGTGCCGTTGAGGAATCCTCGAAGCGATATTCACCCTGCTGGTAACACAAACCTAGCCGTCTTGAGACGCAGTAAGAC